TGGGCAGCTTAACCAGAAAGCGGCAACTTTGCACTCCCCAGGGAGGGAAGGGATTCAACAGGAAGATAGATATATGCCCAGTAAAGTTGGGGTGACATAGGGAAGGTACTTTCCTGTCAATCACATCTGGGGACAGAGATGGTTGGCCAGAATGGGCAGGAAACTTTGGGAATACATAATCCCCTAAAAAAAGGAGTTTGTAATCATGGCTTCTGTTGCTCATGTTGCTCAGGGCGCTCTCTCTTGGTTCTCTCGCATTTTCCCGCGTGGCCTGCAGCCGTGTGGACCCCACATGCAATGGACTGATGGACTGCAGCCGGAAACACCAGCTACGCTAGCCTGCTCCTGGACTGGACCCTACTCCAACATGGAAAGAAAACTCTGAACACTGGCTCTGATTTTAGCTCTGCTGAGGCCCCGGCTACACTTCTGCTACGCCTGGACTAAGGGAAACGGGTCTTTGGAAACCCAGGGGTGTGATCTCATAGGAATAAAGCTTTCTGTCACATCTCATCCTCCTGTGGGGGCCTCCGGAAATGCTTATTCCAGCAGTGCCCCAGGGACACCACCCCCAGCAGCAACTGGGGGAGATGAGCCCCTCTCCTGTCCTGTAACACTATAATTATTAATCCCCTCTACCCCGATTCTGGGCTATTTTGACAGTGGTTGTATGAGCTATGACTGCCCTACAGCAACTGAAAAAATAGAGCAGATATATATCTTTCCATGTGAGTCAAGGAAGGTTCTCCCACATGCACACAGCTAGAAGCTAGACCTAGAAGTGGTAAATAATCACTGTCAGAAGCCCAGCCCTTATGTTTCCCTAGAGCACACCACTTCCTTTCCAAACATTTCAAGATAGCTGGAAGGAATCAAGGCTCCATATAAGGATATAAACTGACGCCTGTCATTACCAGATGCCACATCTCTGAAAGGACAATCTGTGATACAAGGTTTTAAACTACACAAAGCAAATTGTCGGTTTGGAATAAAAGTGAAGATTTTTTTAAGTCACTATTCTCTAGTAAGCATGAGGGGGGGGAGGGAGAGAGAGAGAGAGAGAGAGAGAGAGAGAGAGAGAGAGAGAGAGGCTGTGGTTTATACTAAAAAAGGGATTAAAATTAAAAGCAGACTGGACTACGGTGGGCAAAGGAAACCTGGTCTTATTCAAAGTTCTGCTACTGATGAGCCCTGTGATGTGATCTTGGGTGAAACCCTCATCCCCTGGGGCTTCCGTTTCTTTGGCTATAAAATGAGGCTGAGCCAGATGATTTATAAGGTTTCTTACAGCTGAGAAATCCTATGACTTTAGGAAATAAAATAGATTTTGTACCCAGCAGGCACCAGAAACCAACTCAGGAAACTTAAGCAGGAAAAACGATCTCTTTACAAAGATATTACTGGTAGGTCAGAATCAAATGGAAGGCTGGAGAACCAGGCTCAGAAACAAGGCGGTTTGGTGGCCGTAGCGGGTATGTTGGGATATCTAAAAGTGGAAACCACTCAACTCTGCGGCTGGAATGAATAAGCTCCAATCGTTTTTTCCACCCTCATATCACTGCACCCATAAATCAAAAATAGAGGGTCAGACGGGTCCAGCTCAGGTCACATGCCACTCCTTGGCTGGTGGGCAAGAAACTTGATTCACAGTCCCACCAAGAAGACATCATTCAATGGGTGAGACATAAGTCCCTAAGAGGCCATCGGTGTAGGTAGAGTAATGAGAGAAAGGTAATGCCTACTGTGCAGCTCTTTATACAAAACTTGTGTCTGCCTTCATGATATCACACACTGATATCACTTTTCTATGTGAAAATAGATGGGCTATTTCCATCTGAAAATCGGTGTATCATTAGAGGGAGATAATGCCCCCATGACAACATCATAGACACCCATGACAAAATGCTGGGCAATGACACCTGCTTGAGGGACAGCCTAGCATACACCTCAAGGGGTTGTTATGGGAAAACACAAGCCTGTGTTTTATTTCTAGTCGGTTTCTCTCTGCGCATCTCCTTGGAACTGAGGAGGAGCATTCACAAGGCCCGCCAGCACACTTTCTCCATGTTTACAGAGCTCTGTCTTCATTCTGATGGTCAGTTCCTCTCCCCTTCTTAAGAAGCAGGTAAATCTTGGTCCTTCCCATCCTGATGGCCCCATTCCACCATCATTGGTTGGTTTAAGGGTGGGTCTTTGATCTAGATGCTCTGACATGAGAAAACATCTGCTGGGTGTCAAGGTTTCTTTGCTCTTAACAAGGACATTGTGGTGTAAGGATGCGATGATGATGGCAGCTGTGGTACCAACATTTAATACAATCGCTTCTTGAAATGGTGACAGGAGAAGCCTGAAGACAAAAGCCAACAAGCTGAAGATGGCAGAGAAGAGAGGAAAGAACTTGGGTGATGGATGATGTGAGTTCTTGAGTTAACTAAACCTGGAACCACTCCTCAGAATTTCTGTTAGCTAAGATAATAACACTTCTTATCATTTAAGATATTCTGACTAAGGCCTGCTATTATTTGAAGATGAAAGTATATTAACTGATAATCCAAAGAATGATATTCTTCTAGTAAGCAGCAATATTATCTCCATACTAGTAGGCCTGTGCACGAATCCGTGCACCAGTAGCTTGCTGCCACCCTCCTGTAGCTCCCCCCTCATAGCTTGCTGCCCTGCCCGCTCCTGTAGCTCTCCGCTGCTGCTCGCTTGTAGCTCGCTGCCCCACCTTCCTGCTGATCCGGTTGTGACGCGGTCAGTCGTTACGTTTCACCACATAATGACCATTTGCATATTACATCTTTATTATACAGGATTTTCATCTGATAATATCTTTTAACTTTGGGGAGGGGGGTGGAAAATAACTCTTCCAGAAGATTTATGAAGTATCATCTTTTTTGCCAAAATGTTCTGTTTTCTCCCTGTTCATGCATGCACACTTCATCTTGTCCTTTAAATCACAGAAGCTTCTATTTTTTTTAAAAAAAAATTTATCTTTATTGTTGAAAGTATTACAGATGTCTCCTTTATCCCCCATTGACCCCTTCCTCCCCACTCCCACCCCCTCCTCGGGCCTTCACCACTATTGTCTGTGTCCTTGGGTTATGAATATATGCATGCAAGTTCTTTGGTTAATCTCTTCCCCCCCGCCCCCCCACTCTTCAATTTGTTGCATGCTTCCATGTCTCTGGATCACTACCCTGTCTTTACTGAACTACAGGATTTCTAGTTCACAGAGATTTTTTTTTTTAATGTGTCTTTTGGTTGTCATACCTCTGGGTTAATGATAACATATCTTATTTAGATTTTTAAAATCTAAGAACTTACTTTCACTCGTCCTAAAATCACCATTCATCAGAATCGCATCAATACCTGGAGATTCTTAAGAAAGATGTAGACAGAAAAGAGAACGGACTTTAACAGATACTAATGGCCTGTGAATTCTCAGCAGGAAGCATAGGGCCTGCAAATGACACACTTATCTTACCGTATTGTGTCTAGTATTATAACCAGTAGTATTGTATCTATCTCCTCCACCACCTTGTAAACTCTGTGGGCAGAGAGCAGGCCAACACTATTTTGAATGCTTCAGAGTATCTGTTAAAGTCTATTATTTGAATAAATAAGTGAAATTAGCTTCCAGAAAGCTGACACAATTTAGCAGAACTTGGAGCTTAATTTATGCCTATTGTAAGCCAAGCTCCCATTGATTTCCAAGTCACTTGTCTGAACATAATAGAGGATGTGCAAGGAAACAATACCATGGCTTCTCAGAAATTGTATAATATCCATTCCTCATGGAGTGTGACACCCCTTAACTCCTGCTGAATATTCCAGAACTGAGCCTGACTCACCTGTTAATCAGGGCTACACAGACAAGAAAACGTGAGACTAGCAGAATTCCCAAGTCTGGAATTCTACTCAGCTAAGCAATTTTAACCAAATAATGATGCCAGGAGATTAAATTGCACCTGAACTCTGGGAGGATAGTTTTATAATTTTCAATGATAAGAACTGCCCTCTTATCTCTATGTGCTTTTCTTATAATTAATCACTGTAAGTATTTCTGACATGAATGATATCCATAAAAAATATGAAAGCCAAAGGAATCAGAGGACACATTTTGCTCTTAGTTTTAAATATTTAAGTTTCACTTAAATTTTACTTCAATTCATTGTATTTTAGTGTCTTTGAATTTTTTGAAACATCCTCAGTGCCACAGATGATGTTTCAAAGGCAAGATTTATAAATCCAAACAAATCTAGAAACAAACAACCCAGGCCCTTTGAAGTGACTTGCCAAGAGAAACAATCCATCCGCCAGGAAAACCCATCAAATCAGAATCTGCACCCTGAGCCAAGCAGAGAAAAGCCTGACCCTGTTTTTTGATTCCTCAAAATCAAAATCTCGGGGCCATCCTAAGCTGTGTAATGATGGATGTTCAAGAAGAGTAAGCATTCCCTTCCTATTTCCAGGGGTTTCATCAGCTTGTTTCCATGACTCATAATGGCTTCCTGAAAAAACCTCTCATTTCTTTGATCTCATGTGTCCCACGAGTGCTCCCGAGCCAGGATGCTATTTCCTATTGTGCATCCTCAACTGGACTCAGGGGTTTATCAGTTAACTCAGTCCAAAAATAAAGTTATGAGCATTCTTCAAAAGGATTTTGTCCAACTTGTTCAGAGGACTTCAGAAGGATGTTCTAAAGATTAAAAATAAAAAGACAAATATTAATCACACAAAAATGTTGTTACCTGGTAGTATCACCTGAAGAGAATTAGTGGAAAACAAGTTTAAAACTATTCATCAAAAGTGCGTCTTATAAGAACACTAAAAATCTTCCTAGAGTCACTGATTAAGGGCTCGTTCCAATCCCATGTTGTGCAATGGAGCCTCCATTATATCCAAGAAGACAGTGTGGCAAACAAACTTCTCAGCCCAGGACTCAGGAAACCTAGGGTTTTTTCCAGCCTCTGCCACTACAGTATGTTTGGGTTACTCTCCACTTCTGTAAGTGTTCACACAAGTTTCTTTTAGTTATCACAGTCCATGATTCTAGTAGAGAGACATACAAGCTAGGCCTTAATCATTCACTCAAAAAATAACTATTGAGCATCTATTAAATATTAGGCAACATATCCTCTGAATGCGAAATCTTTCCATTATGCTCCCAAGTTCCCTGTCAATTCCTCTATCATGTTATTTGACACTCTATTGGAATTAGGGGTTCCCTAATCTGATTCCTCCGCTGACTGCATGTTATTTTTGCCAATGAGTAGAATTCCTGGCACAAGCATTTGGCGAATGAACAAAGGGAGCTCTTCCTATGCCAGGTTGAGCATTCCAGAATGAGGACCAGAATGAGAAGAATCAGGCATAAAAATACCCAGTAATATTCCATTAGAACAATTACATGATTACATTACAGTCTACGTAGAAATTTCTGAGCCAACAGCAGACCCTGATTACACTAAGACCCAACTACTAAGACCAGCCTCTCTCTAGTCCTGAACACAAACATATCCTTGGCATTTAGTTTCCAGTTTGATGTATTGAGCCACCTGTGCTGGATCCCTTTGGTTACCTTTTCAGATCTGCCCTCCACTTCCTCCCAACCTGCTGGCACTCTGAGTGGTCAATCTATAGGAACTGCCTCCATCTGGTGTCAGCGTCCCCTGGCTCTGGTTCAGTGTGGCCGTCCCCTGGCTCTGGTTCAGTGTGGCCAGTGGGAAGTACACTGAGTAAAGGGAGAACAGCCAAGCTGGGGTATTTATTCTCTCTCTTCATGGCAACCACAGGCTGTTGTGTCCCCTGACCAAAGGTCACAGCTCCTGTCGGCAGCCCTCTGCACATACTCCACCTGTGTGTATGTGTGCATGTGTGTCTGCCTCTGTGTGTGTTTCTCCGGGATCCTTTAATCTTAGAGACAGGAGCAGTATCCCTACTTATTAGTCCTATGCTGTCACACTCTCCTTTTTGGTTTTCCTAGTTTAATAAACCCGTTATTAAACTCTTCACAAATTATTTGAGTATATCAATGGTTTCCTATTAGGACCTTGACTGATAACTACCCAAGAATTGTGAAGAATAAATGATCTCTAGCCTATCACCACCGAGCACAAAAGGATACAACAAATAAATGCTAGTGTCCCTCCTCTTCTCTGTTACAGTTTTTGTACCGCCTACAATGGCTACCAATTTTGCCTTTAACAGAACAGCTACTTAATAAATATTTGTCGAATGAGTGAAAAAATTTTCCAAGACACTTCTGACCACAGTTTTGAATTCAAATAGATGGGAAGCAATGTACATTAATCTAGATGATCAGATGTTAAATTTAGAGAAGTCTTTAGTTTCAGTAATTGAGGATCAGTGGACAGTTCTTTATAAATTCACGTTCTCTCTTTTCTCATGCTCCAACTGAAACAATGATTGGCCACTGAAATTGTGACTCAACCCCAGGACACAGTGCCAAGGGATGAGTTGACAGCTCAGAGGCACATGTTGGTTAACAGACTAAGAGATTAGTTTACTGGTCCTTCCTACACCTTGGAGAAACAAGTAATTTTATTTCATGTCATTGAACTCATGTGAGCTGATTTTGCAAGTTCATCACTTTCTCTCTCCTACTCTCAAATAGAAACGTACTTTGAAGTATACTTTACTTCCTTGGATCTCTTCGCGTTTATAATGAATGAAGTCAAATCATCAATAAAGCAGAATCATGACTCACCGTGTATACTGCTCGTGCTGATGGGTCGTGGAAGGCACTTCTAGTTCTGGTATTGGAGAAAGCACCACCTTGACCTGAGCCGAGGGCAGCCTCTGCTTGGCCCCTGCTATTTAAGAAGGAGAACAGTTTTCGTCTCTATTTAATCCACAGCAATGCAAACGCAGACACAGTGTTTTCTAATATAGTAGGAGAACCAAGCCCTTCGTCTAGAACAGTGGTTCTCAACCTTGGCTGCACATTAGAATCACCTGGGAATCTTTTTAAAATCCTGATTTCTGGGCCTCCATCCTGCGGAAATTCTGTTTCTTTGTTATGGGGTGGG